GTCACAGAGACGTGTGAACTCTACTTTTTTTTGCACCATTTACTGTCTGGTTCGAAAGGAGAACAAAATATAGAGCAGACCACATAACACCCTGTATGTCGTGGCCATTTACAAGGAATAAATGATGATGAATAAAGAAAATTTAGTAAAAAAAATTAACATCTTTCAAATAACGACTTTATTTTCAGAAAACAGTTTATCGACAGCTGTAACGAAGATTCGACAAGTCTTAATTTTGGTTTCGATATTAACACTGCATGCAAAGAAGTTAATGAGAATGTGCATATGCTGATGGAAAAGGACAGCATCTTCTTTAAAAACATATTTTGTGTGATGTGCAACATTGTATGTATCGTGTTCTCTTATTAGGATTATTGTACGCTTGTCTTCTTCACATAGTTTATAAAATTGTGTCTAAATCAGTCACTTGTTTTCTGAATACGTCAAACTATTTTTTTTGCGGTGAATATCTTTTTTCATAGAAACACACCGAATAGCCGTCACTTTGGCATGTCATAAATTAGATTTTCCTATGTTTATGACGGAAAAGGATTTAAAAAAAATAAATATCACTATTTTGTCGACCCTCGTAACCAAATTAAGTACACACACACACACACACATATATATATATATATATATATATATATATATATATATATATATATATATATGTGTGTGTGTGTGTACTTAATTTGGTTACGACGGTCGACAAAATAGTGATATTTATATATATATATATATATATATATATATATATATATATATATATATATATATATATATATATATATATATATGTGTGTCACGATTTTACATCATGACTTTCAAAGTATGCAACCTATGTTCGAGATTTCATGATCGATAGGCCAACAGACAGATAGACTGACCTGACATCGGGTAGGATAACGGGGTTCTGATTTTGAAAATATCCTCTCGACATATTTTTGAGCATAGAGCCTCAACGATAACCTTCCATTGTGTCCGGTCCCCGGCTTTTCTTAATTTTAGTGTTGGAAGGGATTCCCTCCAAAACAGTTTAGTATACGTGTCAACTGATTAAGCGCCATTGAAGCCATTGACTCTGATTTCAGCCTGCTTTTCTTTTTGGATTTGCTTCCAAAGCCTTTGTCCAACCAAGAACAAACAACAAGGCAGCAGTTGTTTGATTTTGGAGTTGTCCCTCCTAAAAGTGTGGCTTTCCCCAGCGAAGGAGCCTCATCTGTCCGATGGTTCGAACTCGAGAATTTTCGGTTTATCAACCATAAGCTTAACCGACTCAACCACTGTTGATTTTGCAGCCTCCCAAGACACCCCTGTTGGCTTCAGTTTTTTGAAAAGATTCCACCTCCAGGTCTATCTTGGGGTCCCTCTCTTTCGCTTTCCCTGGGGTTCCACTCAAGCAACCCACTTATTAGCGCTGTTATGAGCTCTTTCCTTGTCTTTCAACATAAGTCTATATTAAGACATGTTTCTACCTACATACTTAAATAATTTTTGCATTTGCATATCTTGTTTTTACAGGATAATCCCACAACATATCCTACTTGCTTTATGAGTTATGTGCCGTTTGATGCGCTAAGATTTCAAAACATTGAGAAAAAAAAAGAAACTTGCTCTGTACACGAATGGATAGCCCCACATGTAAGGTCATATATCTACTATTCCGCAGTTGTTGTTTTTTTAACATAATTTAAAATACATATAATTTGACCTTACTGCAGCAGTCAACTGACCACCGTAGCGTATACAAAAACATAATGATTAAATTATAGATGAAATAGTTTCTGAAAACTGTTATTAAAAGCTTTGTTTTGAAAAGAAAGGCTGGTAGAATGAAATGTTTTTAAATTACTGACTTATATCTATTTTATTGTATACTTTTTTACTTTTTTACTTTCTAGTATATACGAAGTAAAGAGAAAGTCTTGTAATCGTGCAAAAAAAAAAATCGAGATTTTTACAAATCTCGACGTTTTACACCTCACTGATACGGAAAAACATAATTTTGAAATCTTGTCCGTATGTCTGTGTGTCTGTGTGTCTGTGTGTGTGTCTGTGTGTGTGTAAGCACGATAACTTGAGTACCTTTACAGCTAGGTTGATGAAATTCATATACAAGTATTTTATCAAAATCGTAGATCAACTTTTGAGCTATTTCCGATAACCGGAAGTGGTACTTTTTCTATTTTGAATTTTTCAAAAGCCTATAACTTGAGTACTATTTCAGATAGATAAACGAAATTTCACATGTAAGTAAAAGATCTAATTCTCTACCTTCTGTCAAATGTTGAGTAATTTCCGTTGAACGGAAGTAGCAGTTTACGCTATTTCCGTTTTTCCGAAAACGCATGTAAATTTATAAAGTACAAATAAAAAATATTGCGCACTATTATGCACATTGTTATTTGGCGTTCACTTGGTGCGCAATTCTTTTTTCTACGAGTTTCTATTCTACTTTTAAAAGTTTAAGTTATTAAAAATCATGTCTATATTCCGAGTTGCCATCCCAAGTAGTGTTATATAAGAATATTCGAGAAAGTTTAAGGGAGATTACTCCCGGTTTATTTATTTTTTTGTTACATAAAACAGGATGAATAAGCTGACTACTGGAAATTATATATTTTTTAGTTTTTTTTTTTTTTAAAGACGCAACTATCTAATCTTCACAAGAAAGTGGTTATTCTTATTGTTTTTATTTTAATTACAGTATCACACACGACATGTTCATAGTATAGGGTGGGGTGTTCTAGAAATATAGGTGGGATGCTCTAGAAATATGGGGGGGGGGGTGTTCTAGAATTATATGTTGATTTTTTTAGAAATATGTATGCAAATATAAAATAACTACGTGGTGTTAGGTGATCTAGAATGCTTTCACAATTCCCAATGATGAATTTTACATTTCTAACAACGCTGTTAATGTTTTTCGTAGAACACATGTTTGATGTCTCATTGTATAAATGGGATACTACTACATAACAGGACCTGCCGTCCCAGGTTCAGTTACTACAAAAACATTTCTTTCCAAATTGGCTTGTTTTTGATACCTCAAGCTGACCATCCAAATCAACTGGCAATGATGTATAGTGAGAATGTGTTACAGAACCTCACATATATTTTGAGCACTAAGGTAGTGTTTTTTTTCCTTATTTTTATACTTTTATATACAAAAGTATATGTATAAAATTGTGTGACGTCAGGTTTCCTTTATTTCTTACAACATCTTACGTAGTATAAGCTATTAAGAGTTGTATTTTGTATAAAAATTGGCTACGTTAGGTTGTCTGATTTTCCTATGAGGAAATACCACAGGAATTACAATCGCATAAAAAGGCATGAAGCGGTATGAGATGAAGAAAAAAAATGTGGCAGGAGGGATTGGGGACAGAGGCGTAGTGAGGTTGGGGCGGAGGGTGCGGACCGCACCGGGTGATACTATTTAGAGTGGTAACACCAAGGCTAAAAAATGCAACATGTTCAGAAGAAAAAGGTTTTTCTGCCAGTTCCATTAATCATTAATTAAAGTTAATTAGTCTTTTATGTACAAAACGGCATCTATTACAAAAGTTTGGGGGTGACACCATGACACCATGGCGTAAACCTAACTATAAAGAAAACATTGCTTTATCCAACTTTATTATTAACAGATTAGAGATAAACATCGTTACTATTACGTATGCAGTGATTAAAGCTTATACATGTATATGTAGGCTGACACACACACATACACACACACACACATATATATATAAATATATATATATATATATATATATATATATATATATATATATATATATATATATATATATATATATATATATATATATATATATATATATATATATATATATATATATATATATATATATATATATACATATATATTTATATATATATATATATGTATATATATATATATATATATATATATATATATATATACATATATATATATATATATATATATATATATATATATATATATATATATATATATATATACATATACATATATATTTATATATATATATATTTACATATGTATATATATATATATATATATATATATATATATATATATATATATATATATATATATATATATATATATATATATATATATATACTTTTCTTTGAGGGGGGGGGTGCCGCACCGAGTGACACCCGACCTAGCCACGCCACAGGAATAGAGCTCGTGTATTATAATTTGGTAAACATCAGGTGTTTGAAAATAGAAATCCTACAGGTTTTTCTTAAAGTGTGTTTAATTCATCAAACGTTTCATTCACCGATCAACCATTCAGTTCCAAAAAAAAAATATTATTATGAAACAACATAATTCATTATTAAACATGGCAACCTTTTGTTTACAGATAAAACTACATTGGTTGCGAATCCAACCAATATATTCAATGCAGATGGTTCGAGTTATGAACAGTAGTGACAAAATCTTATATTTTTGGCTCCAGATCATAACTCAATATCATTACCTAGTGATGAGTAACCAGTTTCGTTCGCTTCACTCAATGTTCTTGGATTCCTTCCCATTACAACTGGATCAAAACAATTCTGTTAAATTGTTTCCCTTTGTTCCAATAAATCCCTTCAACTTCAGCGAAACATGTAATGGGGATGAGAAAGTACAATGTCACAAAATGATAATATCAAACGGGAATTTTTCAAACTATTTTCAACCTGAAGTTTTAAACGAAATTTCGTTTTGTCCTCATATTATTTTAAATAAAACTAATTATACGACATACACGACATATAATACGCACCCACCTACTACTGTGATAACAATAGATTTTAACGGCGCTATGATCAACGTATCAGACAACATTGACTTCTCTAACGTAAAAGTAGGAAATGATGAGTTAAGGATTTGCACTGAGCTGCTAGACAAAAAAATAAAACATTTGAAAATATTCCAACAATTCGATGCTTTCCCCTCAAACATTCGATCTTTAAGAGAAGTGATGATGAAAACCGTTATGATTCTATCTGGGACGTGTCTGACCTTGACCCTTGTCACCTACGCCATGTTTTCTGAGCTCCGAAGCGAGGCTGGTAAAACTAACATCATGTTGTGTGTGAGTCTACTGCTAGCTACAGTCATAGTCATGGCCAAAGCTTACATGTAAGTTTCAACATTGATGTTGTCTACCATTATTATGTAGAAATATCCGTTATTCATAAATAACATCTAGGGAAAAAGACAAATTACATTTTTAAAGAACAACTAGATTATACGTTATCCTTCAGATAATTGATTTTTCGAGTGATTCATTAATGACGTTACGCTAGTTTGAAGATTACAATACCCCCCCCCCCCCGCCCCAGCCAACATGTTTTTTTTTTCTTTTATAAACCATTTTAAATGTTGAGGTCACAGAAACAGATGAACTCTACTTCACCTGCCCCGTATCAAGTCAGATCAGAAAGGCAACTTTACTATGCACTTCTAAAAAGAAGCCACATCCCAGTTTATATGTTTACCTCTTTTAAAAACATCGATTTCTTTCTTTACTATTTTCTGTGCTAGAACATACATGAAAGCAAACGAATTATCATTTTTACTTACATTATATCATAATTAAAAATATTCCTTAGAAAATAAATTATTCATTGTTTTTTTTTTAAATTGCTTTTTGTTATTAATCAATTAATTTTAATTCGATATATTTTCCTCAGACAAAACTAAGTTACTAACTAGCGTTATTTCGAGTTTCGTCATAATACATCTTTACATTCTTCAATCAGACAATATATCATGTATATATATAATAAATATATATATACACATACTTTTTCTTTCCAAACTAAAGATATAATATACTATTTATACTTTTCTCACAGAACAAAGCTTGGCATTATTTGCACAACATTGGGCGTGGCCTCACACTTCATGTGGCTTTGGATGTTGATGTGGATGTTCCTGGGCACGTTCCAGATGTTTAAGATATTCAGCGCGTCCACACGTAACATGAACTCTGACCCGTATCAAAACCACTTGCTGATGAGAAAACTTGTCATCTCGTTTCTGCCGCCCTTGGTGATTGTCGGTGCTGTGATTGTCAAGTCTTTAATAGAGTCAGATGGGGACGTCATTGGCTACGGTCTCAATGGTTGTTTTATAGACTCGAATTCCTCCGTGGGTAAGTAAAACTGAAGCCGCGCAAAAAGTCAACCAGAAAGAGAGGATAAACTGCTAGAGCAATAAATTAACTTTTATTAATTGTTTAAAAATAAAACAAAATTGTATATACATTAATTTTAGAATTATTTCGTTCTTACTAATTTAAATGGCTTTTAGCGTGTCGTCCCTCCTTAGACAAAAGAGCTAGTTAGTTCGGCTGTCCCCTGGTGTAGCCTACCTATTCTACCTATTCTTTGTGATGTAATTTTCCAGTTCAAGTTATAGACCTGGTAATTTCCCATATATATTGTCTTCTACCACCCAGCTTCATAAATCCGCCATCGTGATATCTATTTTTATCCCCGTCTGAGTTGTCTGTAATCCTCACTGTCTGGGTTTCTGTAGTAAAGTATTTTCTACAATATAAGATCGCGGACATTATGTTCAATCCCGACCCTGAAGCACTAGGATGGTAGCTTTCGTCTGACGGCTACCAAAGATCTTCACAGCTTAATTGACATTTCTGGAGTTTACAATGTCAATGGTTTAGCCTTGGGGGTCGTCAGGGTACTCTAGTTGATAAGCCACGGAAGGGACTTAGATCAGTTTATATAATTCTATTTGGTTTATTCATAAAATATATTTTATATATCTACTCTTTAAGAATTTACACTCGGCAGAGTAGTTCCAAATTGCAGGGGATTTAAAACAAAAAAAAAGCTTTCACAGTTGATAGGGTTAAACTTAGATTGATAATTATATTACATTTTCATCCCATTTATTTCAAGCATATTTCAAGAAATGTTTGAGATAATATTCCAGTTATCTTTAGATAAATGTCCCCAATTAGTACTATCGTAATAAAAAGATACATTTTAAGTGGGAAAAACATATAGTGAAAATATACGATTATTGAGAAAAACGAAAAATGGTGACAACTATACAGATTTTAAATCAACCACAGAGTTATAAAAGGTGCACCTGAAATTTGTTAATTTGAATTTAGAACACCTTTTTGAAATCTATTAGGTTGCTTAATCATGCTTATATTGGTGAATTAGGTCGTTAGCTTAATTACTTAAAATATTTTATAAAAATACTAGCAAAATTGTAACAAACGAAATAATTATACAATATTGTTCTGAAAGTAATATAGTTTTAAAAACAATTAATGTTGAAAAAAATGAAATTTCTGATTTAAATGATTTTTTGGGTGGTTTTACCTTTCTTTAATACATCTTCTTTTAGAATTATCTTCACAGAAAGTATTTACACTTGATTGAATCATTTCAAACTGCGGTTGATGTAAAATAAAATAGAAATTCCAACTGAAAGGACATTTTTAAAAATTTGTTTGAGTGGTTTTACCTTTCCTGAATACATCTTCTTGTAGAACTTTCTTCACAGAAAGTAGGCTATTTACACTTGATGGAATCATTTCAAACTGCGGTTGATGTAAAATAAAATAGAAATTCCAACTGAAAAGGACATACTTAAAATTTTGTTACTTAACTTCCATCAAGATCATTTAAAAGCATTAATAAATTTTTTCGTTATTGTTGAAGTGATGTTCCTAATAGCACCAGTGGTGGCGGCTACAGTTGTTAACAGCGGACTCTTCGCGGCAACAACCTACAACATTCACAAAGTGAGACGGGTCCAGGCGTCAGACTTTACACAAAGAACTCACGGGATGTTTTTAGTCTACGTCAAACTCTCAACCCTGACAGGAATAACATTTGTCTTGGACTTCATCGCTTTTATGCTGGACTCGGATGTTATGTGGTAATTTATTTTTTATATTTTTGCTTTTGGTAATTATTAGTAATTCTATTTAATACCTTTTATTGATCTACTTTGAAGGAATGCCAATGATACAGCTAAAATATCAATAAATTATATATATATATATATATATATATATATATATATATATATATATATATATAAGTATATATATGAAAACTAATTTTTACATGGTATTATTTCTTACACATATGGCGTCACGAAAACATATTTTCACTAATCCCCAAATTATTATCCTTTGTCAATTTTAACGAAAAATCTTGGTATGCGTCTTCTATATGGTGATAGTGAGAATCATTATTCATTACTTGGTTACAATTACCATAATAATTCATTACAATTATTTTGATCATGTTTAATTTATTCTTTCTTAATCACGTGATACACAATCTTTTAGTGTCATGAAGATTTATTTTGTTTCAAAATTGTCCCAAACTTTATCTATTTGGTTTATGATATTTATATTCATTTTGTGTGATAGTAAGAATGTATCTAAGGGATTTCATTTTAAAGTTAGGATTAACTTAAAAAAATAAAACGAAACAATCTAGATATTACACGGTCATCTCGATACTGTATGTTTTAGGATCATCACGATAATATGTGCGTTACTATCACCACGATACTCTTGTGTTTCAGGATCATCTCGATACTTCTGACTGGACTGCAGGGTGTTTTTATTTTCTTGTCGTTTACTTGCAACAAGCGTGTCCTTGACCTTTATGTCAAACTGTGTCGAGACAGAGGGGACACGGCGTCAGGAATCTCACCGAGAATTGCAAACATCAGCGGCAATGTGCCAGAAATATCATAATTAATTTCATCAGCCAAATAATGTTGTTGTTTTTTTCTACTGTACCACTCATAGGGAATCGTGATTAAAATTAAAATGTTTCAAATGTTACACATTATCAAAACGATTTTTTTTTGTAGTTTACTGCTTTAAATATTGAAATTTCCTGTTTATTAAGTGAAAACTGTATTAAGTTTTACTTGTGCTTACATTGTGTTATGTAAAGATGGCTAATTTTAATTTGATAGAACCCTGCTATTATGTATGGTGTACACTTGGATTGAATGTTGGTTGTTGTTTTTTTCTACTGTACCACTGATAGGAAATCGTGATTTGAATTCTAATGTTTCAAATGCTATAGATTATCAAAACGAATTTTTTAAATTCCCTTTTTATTAAATAAAAACTGTATTTAGTTTTACGTCGAGTGGTTAAATTGTGTTAATCTTATAAAAACTTGCTATTGTGTTTGGTTTACACTTTGATTAAATGAGGGTAATAGCTTACAATGTTTAGGCCAATATGTTGCCTATAGACGTAACGCTTTTTAAAAATGGTTTCGTCACATGAGAGATACCCAGGCACACATATATTTTAAAGAGTTGCCACGCCTAGGGTTAACAGTAAGGTTGTGTTATTGCTATTTGTATGTTGTATCTACTAACCCTCTTTACCTACAAATAACATAAATTTAAAAAGAGAAGTATCGCTATTACTTTGTGTGTGCTTGTTCATCTTCTCAATGTTGGGGCTACGTTACTCCAATAAAACTGTATTGCTACATATTGTATTGGTTATTTGATGCTTAATTATCAGTTATTTGAGCCAACTAGTTCAATAAGAAATTGTGTACATTTAACATCAACTTATACGGGTTGTCATTTAAAAAATTCTAAGAACAATAAAGCTCATCTGCAATGCTACTTCGCAGCTATTCCGTTCGTGACAACCCATAGGTACCTTATCAAGTTGGATGAGACACGTTTTCTAAAACAAATGACGACGTGTGACGGTGGGAAGTCGTGGGGCAGGGTAAAACTCGTCGAAAAAGTGTGACGTCAATTACGGATGACCCCAAAACTTCCGGATAAACGACACACAAAGTCGACACACAGCCTTTATCCCCCCCCCCCCCCCTCCCTGTACCCCTGACCATCGAGAAGCGTCACACCACCTTCTGGTTCGGACATGATTGTCATAGATCGTAGATACCTCATACCAGGGGCGTAGCGGACCGCACCGGGTGACACCATGTAGGGGGGGGTGACACCAAGGCAAAAAATAGCAAAATATATAGAGAAAAACTTGAGGGGGGGGGTGCAAATCGAAAACTTGAGGGGGGGTGTAAATCGAAAGTTTGAGGGGGGGGGGATGCAAATCGAAAATTTTAAAGTTTGTCCCCGGGAAGGGTCGCTACGCCTCTGGGGGGGGGGGTGTGACACCATTAAGTGCCGCACCGGGTGACACCCGACCTCGCTACGCCACTGCCTCATATAATGATGTCTTCATAGTGGCATAGATCTAAGACACCAAAATATACTGTCTCCACATGGGCATAAGGTATATATACCTAAAGCACCTCAAACATTGTGTTCTTATGTGGGTATTCATCTAAATTTCATATAGGCATAGATAGAAGCCACCTTAAACATGGGCACGAGGCAAATAAATTTACAACGTCTAAAACAATGGAGAAAGTATCATTTACAATTACCAAAAATCGCTTAAAAGTTAAAAGAAGCATAGCCATAGTGTTCTATAAATGTCAAACTAACCGAAAAGGTACTCAAGTTATTGCTGTAAAACAATTTCACACACATACATAAAGAGAATATTTTTTAAGTTGTGTTTTTTTTTCAGAAACAGGAAGATGTAAAACGTCGAGTTTTGTCACGATTTCGATTTCACTTTCAGGCACGATTACATTTTTTAACAAAAAGTCACTGACAGATATACAAATTGGATATTTAACAAAGAGATTTTTAACGATAGCATATAGTAAATTTCATGTTGTGAAAGTCAGCACAAAATATCGTGAACTCAGCAGAAATGTTAGAAAATACTAAAAGAATAGGTCAATTATAACCCACGTCATTTCACTAGTTGAGCCGTTTACTATAATTAGTTGAAATTTGATTCTGTTTGTTTCAAATCAACCAATGATGAAACTAAATATCCTATATAGCTAGCCTACATTTAACTAATTTAATTAACTTAATTATATTTTTTTATCCAGAATATGATAGGGCGGGTACGTCGTACAGTGTTGAACAAGATAAATCCAAGCTTGATGCTGGTTGGTCAATCGATAAGCAAAGCTCTCTTTAATAAGAAACAAACCACTGATTGGTTGAAACAGTTATTTAAAAAAAATTGGTTGTGAATTATTCAGCAACAGAATGTTCAAATGGAATTATTACTTAAACATTTTAGGTTGAAATGTTATCGTGATTAGTGTTGATCACCTTACAACAATTTATTTTCAGAAAATAAGTGGTTTTCATCTATTCAACTACAAAATGTTCAACAGCAAATATTATTTACGCACTTTAGGTTGAAATGTTATCGTGAATAGAGTTAATCATTAAAAGGTATTATAATTGTTTTTTTAAATATTATACTGGAGGGTTGAAACGTTTTTAAAAAAACTGGATTTGTACACGATGTACTAAAGGTTTTGTAAAGTATTGTAGAGTATTATAAAGAAGTATAATTTGAAATTATAAAAAAATGTTCTGTAATGAAAGTTGAAATATATTTCAAATAGTTTAAGAAGAGATATGTTTTAAAAAATGTGATTAAATTAATCTCGAACTTATACATTAATAGAATGACTCGAGCCTTAACCTTGGGAGAGACAGTACCACTGGTACTATGCATGGGGATGTTTTTAACTGAACATATCTCAGCATTAGAAAACGGAAGACTTTGGAACTACACCAGCAGGTATACTGAGAGCATCATAAAAAACAAACCCAGTCCATACCTCGGGTTTGATATTTTAAAATCGATCGTAACGATTCATAGGTGAAGGGCTAGTGCAGCTCATCAGTTTCAACTGCAGCCGCAATTTGCTGTGTTAGGACTATGAGGAATGTTGCGGTTGCCGTGAGGTGAGAACACATTCTCAACCAAGAGATTACGTGGGGTAATTAGAGTTGTGATTGTAGAGCTGTGAATTTTACTTTTTGAAGTATATTTTTACAATCACGAATTTTTAATTCATTACTTTATGTGAGAAAGTTAGTGTTGCTATATATGTAGGCCCTATTTTTAAGGTATATTTTTAACTATCACAAATGGGACCTTTGAGTTCATTGATTAATGATTTAGAACCAATGGGCCCTGTGACACCATAATTGAAATCTAGGGTTGATAACAATTTATAATCACATTTACGATTTTAAATTTCAATAACACTGGTAATATGACACAGTATTTGAAATAACAAAACATTTTTTTAAACTGTAAATTGTTAACATACGAAAGAAAAGAAGTATAAAGAATCCTCTTTACATCTAGCGATCCATTCAGTAGATGAAGTAGAGTTCATGTTTCTTGACCTCGGCATATGAAGGGAAGTCGTGATCAGCATTTTGCCCAGCCGCCTTACTTAGGCTAACATGAGATAGGTACCCTTTAGAACAGGGTTGACTCAGTGATGTTGTACAGTTTTGAACCCGCATTCGCACTCGAGACGCCGTCGCATACAATGTTAACATAAATATTTTTTATTCATCTAAAGTGATCTAGCTTTTAAAATATATTCTAAATTAGTTCAAGTTTATTAATTGTTTTTTTTTTACCTAGGTAAAAGTGAGTCCACACTTCTCAACTTTTGTTTCGATATTATGTATAAATGATAATATGTATGTGATATCCGATTTACGAAAATCATCAATCATCTTCAAAAACATATCCTGTGTTTTGTGCACGATGGTATGTATTGGCATTCAAATTTATAAAACGCTGTTTTTATATGTTTGAAAACTATATATATATATATATCTATATGTATATATATATATATATATATATATATATATATATATATATATATATATATATATATATATATATATATATATATATGTAGATGTTGATGTTGATGTGGATGTTCCTTGGCACGTTCCAGATGTTTAAGATATTCAGCGCGTCCACACGAAACATGAACTCTGACCCGTATCAAAACCACTTGCTGATGAGGAAACTTGTCATCTCGTTTCTGCCGCCCTTGGCGATTGTCGGTGCTGTGATTGTCAAGTCTTTAATAGAGTCAGATGGGGACGTCTTTGGCTACGGTCTCACTGGTTGTTTTATAGACCCAAATTCCTGTTAGTAAGTTAACAGTACACTTACGCACGATATATTCGTGGAAATAAAAAAAATGAACATCATAATAAATTGCATCTTTAAAATTTTATGTCGGATTTTCATTTTTAAAAATTACTTTCTGAGAAATAAAATGCAATTGCGTATATCTGTTGTAATCTGTTGTTAATTTTTTTTCTGATTTGGTAATATTTGGTTCTGAAAATTTCAACGTCGAATTATACAGTAATATCATTTTATTTTAAAGCTGAAAATTCGGTATCAATGCTGTTTATTTAACAACTGAATGCTTATTTAAGTTTATGATATTGTGAAATGACGAAATGTATTTTAGACTTTTTAAGCACCGATTCGGAAAATGTAAGACTAAAAATCTAACTATATGATAAAAAACTATTGTATATTAACGGAAAAGCTGCAATTTAATTTTCAGATTCCATTTTCATTTATTCCTTTTCCACCAAATGTTCCACCTGCACCTGGCTTTATGAATATCTTCTCGATATATTTTGCATTATAGTCATCTCGATATTTTTTGTTTAACGATACTTTGTTTTCCATGATCATCTCGATATTTCTGACTGGGCTACGGGGAGATTTTATTTTCTTGTCTTTGACTTGCAGCAAACGTGACCTTGACCTCTGCGTCAATCTGTGGCGTGGCAAAGTGGAAATGGCGTCCTTAGCTA